GATAAATACAGAAGAAAGAAGGAGTAGGTAAAATAACACAAGGAAGTCTGAAAAAGTCACAAGGAATCATACTATTAATTATTTACCAAAAACATAATTCTGTGTTTAAAACATACATATGTAGCTCTAATGAACCTTTCTCATTTAGCCTGACAGTGTTCCCTTTAAGAGCCAAAGCCCACCTAACAAAAACCTCAACACCAGACATAGGCCCTCTTTTGAGTTGTTGGCCAGGACTGTCCAAGAAAGTCCCCAAACATACAGCCCATTGCTGTTGCCCTCGGTTACCCCCAAGAAGTGGAAGGTAAATCCCTGTTGCTGAAGACACCATGCACTTTAGAAAAAGAACCCTAAGCTAAAACTGACCTGAATGTTCCCTCCCTGAAGACTAGCTTTCATGGTAGCAGAAGGCGACATGTAAGCGTCCAAAGGAAGGAGGCAACCAACAGTCCTACCCTACGAACCAACAACCAGGACGGCACGGTACCCCTACTGGTGTAGCAGTGGCGTACATACCTTGGTAGTAACCAACAGCTCTCTAATTGGACTTAAGACCTGCTCAACAAGAGGGAAACCTTGCCTGGTTCTGGAACACGGCTAACTACTCAGTGATAGTGAAATCATGGTTATTGGAGGAGAATCTACAACCACTAATTTATTAAACCAACACAGTCCCTAACAACAATCTATAAATGTGTGTCTTTATTCCCATAGATAAGTGCAGTCCTCACCCCTCCTCCAGGAAACTTCTCTTTACAACAGGCAGAGACCTCTACAGAAAACCACAACCAATCAAAATGTAGGGTTGTGGAGCCCAGTCCCAATGGATACATCTCCAAAACACTCCAGAACCTAAGGCTCGGGGAACATTGTGGAAGAGGAGGCATAACGATTGTAAGAGCCAGGGATCAGGGCATTTGGCGAGGGTGTGTCTTCTAGTAACATGAGAAGCTACACCCAGTAAGCCTCATCAACCTGACTGCCCAAACATGAGCTGAACAAGGTTGATAATAGGCATACCAAACTAGATGGGAAAAAGCCCATGAGGCCTCAACTTACCCAAAGGTGGCTGGGGAAAGCTGGGAGCAGAAGAGGTGGTCTGTCCCAGGGAAGAGCACACCGGTTGGTAGCCCAGTGCCAAATGCTCAGCGCTGAAAATATACGTGCAAATAACACTATACAGACTGAACAGGTTATATTTAGGAATATATATAAATATACGTAAGATATGTATGCAATAACAACCAGTAAAAAAGAGAGGCCATGGGAGTGGGGGTGGGTATGTGAGGGTTTGGAGGGAGGAAACGAAAGGGAGAAATGTTGTAACTATATTATCATCTCAAAAATTTAAAAATTAAAATAAATGAAAAAAAACAGAAAAAAGAAGGAAGGAAGGAGGGGAGGGAGGGAAAGATAAACAGAGCTTACATAGAGAAACTGGGAAGAGCAAATATGGGGATGGGCTAATGTCAATACTAAACCTTTCTCTGCTATGATGGCATGATGGAAGCCCTGCCTCGGCCCTGAGCCCCAGACACTTCTCTGTAGCATTTTCTGCTACAGACAGCATACGCTTTACTTTCACCTGCACAGGAAGGGAAGGGACAAACTCAGTTACTTTGTGCTGTGTAAGAGGTGGCATCAGACACTCCTTTCAAATGTACTTAGGCGTGAACTAGTGGTCATTTCTGGGGACGGAGATATTTAGGACTCAGTGGCTCAAAGGAGCCAAACTGCTGTGTAAAAGAAGAGCTATTGGGCATAGCTGCATCTGTAACTGTGGCATTTTAAGGCAGGAGGACAGAGTTTGAGGACAGCCAGGGCCATTTCAGAGCACTATGAGGGAAATGCTGTATACTTGCACGTACTAACCAACCCTGTAAGACGGCCTAGAACTTAATCTTCAGATTCAAAGACTCCTGGAATCAATCCCACGTGGTTAAAGCTTCACTTCTCCAAAAACATGTTTATTTCTTTAACGTTTTTTCTTTTTTACATTTATTCATTTTTGTGCGTGAGAAGATGTGTACCACGGTCCAGATGTGGAGGTCTGCAGGAGTCAGCTATCTATTTCCGTGGGGGTCCAAGGCTCAAACTCAGGTCATCAGGCTTGGCAGCAAGCGCCACCTTGCCAGCCTGACGTGTAACTCTGTGTAGGGGTTGAAGCTAGGCTTCTAGTCATTTCATGTCCTCAGGGTGGACTTGTTGCCTTCCACTACCTCCCATCGGGAGCTGAGAGCCAGAGAAAGGTCAGAGAAGTGAACAAGTCTGATGTGATCTTTCTCGGGCCCTGGACCATCTTGGACACAGTTTAGCCTGGACTAGACCAGCGAGTGTTGCATATTGTTTCAACCTGCACAGCCCAGAACTTGAGAAATATTGAAGTATTAAGGGATTGGGTTTTTACATTGTCATTCAATTGGCCTTGAGCAACATCACACTGTCACTCATCCAAAGGGGAAACAGTTGCTGGCACCGGTGGTAAAGAGCCGAGAGAGATGGCTTAGATAGGTAGAAGAACACGCCTTCCCGTCTCTGGGCTTGTCCCATGGGCCGGGCCCTTGGCAGTATTGATACCTGCTGGAAGTGGGGAACACTGTGTCATGGATGGGCTGGGACGAGCTCCAGTGTGGGCCCAGAAGGACTGTGAGCAGCCACACACATGCATGCAGCTCCTGAGCTGAGCTGCCCTCCTGACACTCTCAACCATGAGCTCTGGTTTTAATCAGCACTGGACCCCCAGCTCCCAGCACTGTGCAGGCTCTTGGAAAGCGAGAATAAAGGAGTGCCCACGACTAGACTACAGATGCCTTCAGGGACCACCTCTGCCCCACCACATCATTCTCACTACTTCTTCTTCCCCAGTACCTGCCATGGAGCCCTTCTGATGCCCATGATGTCAAGTCCCTTTCTCCCCGCTAGATATTCTCAGTTCAAGAATCCTGGGTCAGGCTAGGGCCTGGCTGATGGAGACAAGCTGAGAATGGGGAGGAAGTTGGAGCCAGGATGCATGCCTTCCCTTTACTAAATGGTCGAACGGCTTTTCATCAGAGGTCATCAATATAACCACATGAAGGGCACTCAAGCATTATTCCATCACTCATTAGTTCACTTTCCAGTTCGTGTCTTCAGTCATTTGTTATTTCTTCTGACTTATCCATCCATCATTCCTTCGTGCGTTTAATATCCACAAACCCTTGTACATACACTGAACAAGGTACAGAGATGCTTTAACCAAGGGACACACATGAGCACACACACACACACACACACACACACACACACACACACACAGAGAGAGAGAGAGAGAGAGAGAGAGAGAGAGAGAGAGAGAGAGAGAGAGAGAAAGATCACTGCAGCTATGGGGCATCCTATCATCTACATGGCACTCTGCATCCCACTGAAAGGTAGGTGGCTGTCTTATGAAAGAATGGGGTTGGGATGGAAGTTGGGGCTGGTTAAATGCCCCCACCAGGTCTTCTCTTGCTTCTTCTACCCCATGTGTGGTCTGGAAGGAAAGGCTCCAAGTCTGGATGGGCATATTCCCCTGATTTTCCACCTTCTCATCCATGATAAGGGCTTTAAAGACCAGCCATGGGAGAGAATGAAAATCTGAGCCTGGGCAAGAGTGGCCCCATGCAGGAGGGAACAGAAGTGGCAGGTAACTCTGTGTAGCTGGATGTGTGTGGCTAACAACCTGAGCACTGAGCACCACTGGGACCTCACACTGCGTCCTTGACACTTGGGCAGGTAAGCGGGTAGGGCAGGTCGAGCCCTTTCACAGAGGGCCCTATGCCCTCTGCCACCTGCCTTCCCCACCTCCTAGCCCTGAGCATCTTACTGGGCCGTGTGCAGGGCGTCTGGCCCCAGGGAGAGGTGGGGTGAGCTGCAGTCCACACCTACGCAACTATAAAGAGGGAGTCTCCAGCTGCTGCGGCCTCAGCTCCCTTTCTCAGCCACTCACACACCTGGACCATGGACCCCGGGGAATGCACGTGTATGTCCGGTGAGTAAGGAGGCCCACTTGGGGGCTTACAGCTTTGCCCCTGTATCCTGCAGGCAGCATGTGGGACTATAGGAAACTCCTTCTTCACTTAGGCACCGTGGATGAGGTTTGTCCTGGATCTGCAACCTTTGGGGCAGCTCCCACTCTGCTGGTTCCCAGTCAGATTTGCTGAAACGGATACATTGGTCCAGGGAATAGCAAAGGAAGGGACCTGAAAACCTTAATCCTTCTAGCTGCAGGGTCCCTCGTGGCAGCCACCAGAGTAGGGAATGGAGCCACGGCCCAGAACCTGGACACTTGGATTTGGTCCTCTGCTGCCATTCATTCCCTAACACATTTGATTGATGGGTCTTAGTTTCCTCATTTACAGATTGAGGTTACTCATTGTGGCTTGCTTGCATACTAGGCAATCTATAGAAAGGCCAAAATTAGCAAGTACTTGCACACATCAGCGTTTAAAGGCATAGCTGGGACCTCAAGACAGTAAAAGCCAGTTGTGATGGTACTTACTTGTGATTCTAGCACTGGTTGAAGGCTGAGGCAGGGGGAACACAAATTCAAAGCCAGTCTGGGTTGCTTGGTGCCAGGAAGTATGTTGACCAGGAGGAGGGAGGTCAGGGGTCAAAACCATCCTGTGCTTTCACAGCCTTGAAAAATAGCATCTAAAATTTCGAAAGCATCCTTCGTCCTTAACAGTACAGGTCTGTCCCCAAAACCTGCAAAAGGTGAAGAAAATTCTTGTGTTCTGAAATTGAACATGATGGATGGGATGAGTTTAGAAAGACAAATAAGTATGAGTCGTTTTTATTAAATAAAAGTAAGATATGGTCTCCCTCCCCCCATCTCTGTGCCCCTTTCTGCCTTCCATTCAGGGTTTCCAACTGGCCTTGTCAAGAAGAGACTATGAAAGCCCTTGGTGGTTGTCACAGGAACCTTGGCCTTTCTCTTTGCTGGGGTTGGCCTCGCTTGTTAGTTCTCAAGCCTGATTGGACATCAGTACCAGCTGTGTCGTGTTTTTAAACTCCTGGGTCTTTCCCTACACAGAGTTATAAATGGACCTGATTCAAGGGTTGTTGTGCTCAGGAATGTGCATTTCCACAAGTAAGCCAGGTTTAGCTGATGCTGCCACCCCAGTCCCCATCCACGGCCTGTCGCTAGAACCACTGGACCATCCACAGGCACTGGGGCCACCCTCTTGTCCCACCGCTCCCCAAGGTCAGTAGCCTCGTGCTCACCAGTCTCTGCCCTCTCTCCTAGGAGGGATCTGCATCTGCGGAGACAATTGCAAATGTACAACCTGCAGCTGTAAAACCTGCCGTAAAAGTGAGTATGGACACCAGGACACTGCCAGGTGGGCGTGGACTAGCCTCACCCTTCACTGTCCCTATCCTCTCCACGTGGGCAGTGGAGGGATTCTGGGGACCTTTTTCTCATTGGGAGGGATCTGAGATGATACCCAAGGAGACACCTGGGGCAGAGCTCTCCCAGGCTGCAGGCCATGCAGCACTAAGACTATCCATGGTGTTTGGGGCAGGGAGGGGACTAGAGACAGGTACTGTCCAGTCCAGTGAGGAAGAGTAAAAAGCCTTGGCCTGGAGTCATGAGCCCTGACTTCTAATCATATCTCTATCATGGCTGTGACCTTTGAAAAGCTCACCCCCTGTCTGAGGCTCTGATGGACCCTAGTGGACCCCTGAGGTCCCTTCTGGCTCTCAAATCCCACAGCCTCCTTCCCTAGGGTTTCCTGCCGCAGGTGCTTCATTTCCTCCTCCTCCTCCTCCTCCTCCTCCTCCTCCTAAGGTATGGGAGAGGCAGTGGGAAGTGAAGAGCCACGGCTCATCTCTCCATCTACTAACCTTTCCAGGTTGCTGTCCCTGCTGCCCCCCAGGCTGTGCCAAGTGTGCCCGGGGCTGCATCTGCAAAGGGGGCTCAGACAAGTGCAGCTGCTGCCCCTGAAACCCACCCATGGCACCAGGAGAGATCCTGGAAGTGACTGCCCGGTGCCTGAGTCAAAGGATTGACTTTGTATAATAAGTTGTGCCTTTTATATATATATATGCCCAAATGTGGTGCCCATGATGTTCGTGTAAAGTTCTTGGAGCAATAAAGCTTTCATGGCTATCCAGTGGCTCGGAGCATTGTTTAACCCTCACCCTAACCCAGAAGGACCAAGAAGGGCTGGCTCTGTTGCAGACCCTCGAGCTGCCCCCCCTGGACCCCCATTTGCAGGTGGCCGCTCGCTGCTGCTCTCTTCAAGGTGCTGCCACTGCACCTGAGGCTGGCTCCCATGTTACAAACACAGGGCAGCCATGAGTACAGGAGAGCTCATGACCCTGAGAACAGTTCCTAACCAACGCCAGGCAGGACCCAAAGCCGGTAGATAAATAGCCAGCATTTCTACACTGTCTTCCAGAAGTCTGCAGTGGCGCTGAGCTCCAACAGCTCACAGCTAACACACTCACTAAACCATGTAGGCTCTCTTCCTTGCCCCGTGGCATGGTCCTCAGGCAATGCTTGCTGGGATCCCCACCCAATAAAACCCTCTGAGTGAAGGGTCTGCCTTGGCGCAAGTCAGTCTTAGTCCTGGCCTAACCTTGACTCAGGTAAATTCACTGAGCAAAAAGCTACTGGTCTCGAGCTCTGAACCAGTCACGAACAGAACCTGTGTGCATCTAAAAACCATCCCCAGCACCAACACACAGCAGTTTAGTTGTTTGGGCCAACACCAGGTCAGGGTGACATATACCAGGAGGTGAAACTGGGGCAGAGGAGTATAATGTCCCCCAGAGACTTAAGACTTTTTAGATGGATGGCTAAGAAGGCTGAGCTACCTGCAGACGTCACTGGGGACAAAACACCACTGTCTGTCGTTGCCAATGCAGCCCTCAGCACAGCACCAGGCAGCCCAGTCCCTGAGAGACCTTGTATTTATGCCACTGGGAGGCAAAGCTAAGGCTTCCCTCTCCAGTCACTGGGCGCAGGGCGATGAGAAAGGAACCTTGCCCAAGGGCGCCAGCAAGGAGGAGCAGGATGAACTTCAAATTACCTGGAGCTGAGCACCTAATCCTCCTGGGAATGCAGCTGTTTAGAAATCACCAGGAGTCTCCTGGGAAGGCTTTCACGCTCCACCCCAGAGCAAGCCATGCTGCTGAATCAGCATCTCAGAACAATGGAAGAGGCGTGGCCTTTGGCACCAGATAGCCATTTCGGTCTGCAAGGCCTTCACCAAGTCATTCACCCTCTCCAGGCTCAACCTCCTCCTCTGTCCTCTGTAAAGCCCCCACCCCCCTCGGGGCTGTGCAGAGAAACTGTTGCTGAACATCCATGCGCAGAGAAGGTTCCCATAAACAGGGTTTTCTCTACGGACAAGACTACTTTTGTCTTCTATTTTTTAATCTCTGAGAAAGCTCCTGACTAGTCACTCTGCAAGGACAGAACTCCACAGTGCCTGTCAAGGACGGGTGCTGGCAGTTACACCCTTCGGAGGCAAAGCAGGCATCTCTGGCAAGTAGGCTGGCTGCTCTTCCCACAGCCAATGCCTCCTTACCTTGTCCAAAGGCCAACAGGGTAGCCATATCTACCTCTTTTATTTCTAACCTACCTTTGAAAGGGAGAATCGGCCCTCAGACTCTCATTTTGGCGATAACAATGCCCATGTGTAATGCGGCTGTTTGCCACATACTGAACATTTGACATATCCGGTACTGTGTGGAATAGTTTTAAAACATCACCTTACAGACTTTATGCAATCAGGAACATTTCAGAGCCAACCATGGCTACATAAGCACCTGCCTCAGAGGGTCCCTCTCTGTTTACCCTCCCCACAGATGAAGAGTCTGGACCAGTGCCACAGCTCAGCGGGTAAAGTACTTGCCACATAAGCCTGGTGACCTGATTTGCTCACCAGAACCCACATAAAGGTAGAAGGAGAGTGCTGACTTCTACACGTGTGCCACAGCCATGCACACATACCATAACACACACACACACACACACACACACACACACACACACACACACACACACGATAGACAGGCAGTTTTTTTAGAGTCTATGGGGGCTCAATGTAGTAGAACACACCTACACACCTCCAATCCCAGCACTCCGGAAGATAGACACAGGTATTCAATCTCTGTGAGTTCCAGGTTAGTCTAACATAGCAACAAATTCCAGGCCAGTCAGGGCTACATAATAAGATGTTATCTTAGAAGAGTCTATAGGCCCTAAGTGGGGTGTCCAAGAGGGATTCATTCATTCCCCTTCAAGCTCCTTTCCCACCTTCTGGACAATATTTTGATCACATGGGAGCTCAGGACCCAATTTCAGGGTCTGTTTGTGACCTCTTCCCCACATCTGACCTTCCTGAGGGTGGAGCCTGCCAGGCCATCAGTCTCTTGAAGCGGAGGCCTGCAGGATGGTCAAGGGAAGCTGTCCTCAGGAACGAGGGTAAGACTGGTGTAAAGAGGCTTTAGAAATGTGAGTTTTGGTGTTGACATGGAACAGAACAAGCGGGGGCGGGGTGGGGGTGGGGGGGGACACGGGATGCGGACCAGTCTTCCCTTTGCCTCTTGCCTCTGCCCCTCCAAATGCCGGGAGCTACTCTGCAATGACAGCCTGTGGTAGTTTGAATGTAATTGGCCCCCATAAGCTCATAGGGAGTGGCATTGTTAGGAGGTGTGGCTTCATTGGAGTGGGTGTGGCCTTGTTAGAGGAAGCATGTCACTGTGGAGTGGGCTTTGAGGTTTCCTGTGCTCAGGGTACCGTTCAGTGTTTCAGTCGACTTCCTGTTGCCTGCAAGATGTAGAACTCTCAGCTGCTTCTCCAGCACCATGTCTTCCTGCATGCCACCATGCTCCCAGCCATGATGATAGTAGACTGAACCTCTGAACTATAAGCCGCCACCTCAATTAAATGTTTTCCTTTATAAGTGTTGCCGTGGTCATGGTGTCTCTTCACAGCAATAGAAACCCCAACTAAGACACAGCCCTAGAGAAGAATCCTGTCATGACACCCACTTTCCAGATGAGGAAACTGAAGCCTGAGGCAGTCAGTGGCTGGCTCCCTCATCACAGACTTGTGAAGGGCAGGACCGGGACTCAGTGTGGTCTGCCTGACTCAGGTAAACTCTTGGCTGTGCTTTATACACGGCTTAGAGAAAGACAGAGGGCAATGCCACATGAGGGGTCCCCACATGGCCCAGTGCTTTAGAGAGCCCCCACATCACAACCCACAAACCTTAAATTTGTTACAGAATGTGGGGCAGCCTCCATCACTCAGGACCTGGTACTTGTTTGGCGCTGTGTGATCAAACAACCCTAACATCTGCTCTTTTGCCTAATGTTGCTCAGGCCCCAGAAAAACACTCCTCTACCTACTGGCCTGTGTCCTCAAAACAAAAACATGACCTTTGAGTGTCAGGAGGGTTCATGGATTGTTCAGATACCAGTGTGAGAGACAGACACAGTTTTTAAAGTGCAGGGAAGGCGTGAGTGGTAGAAGTGAGAGAAAATGAGAATCAACTAACCCATCCCTTTCTATTTCTCACAAGCAAGCCTGTTACTGATTATTGTGGTGGTTTGGGTGAGAATTGGTCCCCCCAGGCTCATATAGTTGACTACTTGGTCCCCAGTTGGTGGAACTGTTTGAGAGAGGATTAGGAGGTGTGGCCTTGTTGGCGGAGGTAACTGGGGGCAGGCTTTGTGGTCCACACCATCCAGGTGTCTCTTTCTCTGCCTGGTGGTTGTGTCTCAAGATGTGAGCTCTCAGCTACTGCTCCAGTGCCATGCCTGCCTGCCTGCTGCCATGCTCCCTGCCATGATGGTCATGGACTCACCCTCTGAAATGTAAGCCCCAAATAAACTCTTCTAGAAGTTGCCTTGGTCATGGTGTCTTGTCAGAGCAACAGAAAGGTAAGTAGGATAATTATTACATCACATGCTATTATTTTCCAATTTCCACTTTTTTCTCTGTGTTCTGAGAATGTTTATGAGTGTATGATGACTGCAGAAATTGCGTAAGAATATTTGTAATGCTAAGAGGGTCACATTAGTCACATACATTTGCATTATTTGTAAATATGTGCATATTTACATGCTATGGAGGGAATGTTTGTGGGCCCCAAAATTAAAATATTGAGTCCCAAGGCCCCAAGTGTGGTGGTATGTAAAGGCAGAGACTTCAGGAGTTCAAGAGGTAGTGAGGGTGGGGCCCTCATGATGAGATTGGTGTCTGTCTATAAAGAAACAAAAAGAATGGGTAGCAGGGACTGAAAGTGTTCAAAATCAATAGGAAGATTGCAAAAATAAATAAATAACCTGCAGAAAGCGAGATCAAGATTCTGACAGAGTGTCTGGTGAAGGCCTAACGTCCTTCGTTGCAGATAACCATTCTCTTCTTGTCTACACAGCAGGTCTACAGCAAGAGCCATCCATTATCCTCCTAGTTTCTGCCTCTCCCTCCTCCTCTGCTCTCCCTCCTGACCCTCACCTGGTCCAAACAAAGCAGATCACCTAGAAATCCTCTATAGACTCCTCTGCGGCTCCCTTGGAGCTGCGACTCTCCCTGCTTCCTGTTTACTCATAGCCCCGATCCAACACATTCTGGCATTTCAGAAACACTCCAGAGTCCCTGCTCTGTTCCCATCCTCCCAGCCAGGCTGTTCTTGGTCCTCCTTCGGTCTCTCTGAATGGATGTTCAGGAGGGAGAAGAAAATGCATGGACTCTCTGTGGCTATCTTTGTCAAAAGTAGGAGCTAAGGTTTGAGTGGCAACAGTGTTCACCAATGCCACACCCTGCACGCTGGCGTTGTCTCCATTCCACAGGAAATGGACTCAGAGAAGTGAAGGGGTCTTCCACATACAGCCAGGACTAGCTGATGGAGAAACCTGAAGACCCTGAGAGGGGCTGACAGGCATGTGACAGGAGGCTCGTTACATATGGACCTGGGGGTAACACTGGAGTGTTGGGAAAGGAAACGTCTAGAAAACAGAACCTAGTTAAGAAAAAAGCAGAGGCTGGGGTGTGTGGCAGAGGGATTGCCTCGAATGCACAAGGACCTGGGTTCCATGCTCAGAGCTGCACAAGAACTCACTCATGGCGGTCACCCAGAGCAGGAAATGCTG